ACTGAAATCAGGTTTAACAAAACGATTCTACAACCCTCGGTTAAGTAAGAGCGAATCTTGTGTGTTAAGTCAGACAAATACACAGTTATTGGAATATACATATATATATATATATATATATATATATATATATATATAATATATATATATATATATTATATATATATATAAATATATATATATATATATATATAAATATATATATATATATATATTTATATATATTTATATTTATATATATATATATATATCTATACATATATATATATATATATATATATATATATATATATATATATATATTATATATATAAAACTGTTTTTGATGGGTTGGAGTCAATAAAAGGGGCTATTTGTCTATTTTTTACTCGAGCTTTCAATTGTGATTACAAAATATCAAGAGCTTCTAAAAATACAAAATATCTTACAAAGTTAAGCTAGAAATAAAAAATTTTTTGTTAACTCACCAAATAAAATTAGTTTTTTATATAAAACTGCATCTTACATATTAATTACAAAAAATATAATAAAAAAATGTCTTATTCTAATAAATGTTTCTCTGAAAAATTTTGATGAAGTTTCTTAACAAAAACAATTGAATTTGTAAACAAAAATTGAATAGCTACAAACCAGCCTAAATGTCATAAATACTAACTTAAAAATTTTTATTTTTGACATATTGTCAAAAATAAAATTTTGTTTAAAAAATTCGTCTTTGTTTAGTAACAAAAAAGAAAAAGATTTATTCACCATTGGTAGATGCCCGAAAAAATGTAACAAATACATGGAAAATTCAAAATGTGATATTTTACTGACTATATATATAAAAATTACATAAAAATAATATAATTATAAATTTTGCTTAGATTTTGAATTTCTGACCATTTGTTTAAATTATTATCTCTTTTGCTAATACAAACCATTTCCAAAAAAGTTCTTTTAAATTTATTACTTTCACTACATAAAGTTTAATATTATCAAAATCCATAATATGATCTTTGTCTATTACATGCTCTGCCAAAGCACAAGAGGGTTTCTTAATTCTACAATCACTCTTGTGAGAAATAATGCGATTTGAGAGATTTTTTCCAGTTTCACCAATATACTCAGCTTCACATTGAGTACAAATAATGCTGTATACTACATTTGTTTGATCTAATTTGTCTATAGGATATTTAGTTTTGGAATATAAAGATGAAATAGTTTTGATGTTCTTTGTTGCTATTTTTATATTGTCAATAACCTTTAATGTTTGTATTAATTTAGGAGTTAATGATGGTATAAAAGGTAGTGAATGATAATATATGTTTTGATTGTTGGATACAGTGTTTTGAGATTTAGCAAAAAATGGTGTTAAGTTATTTATATTTAATAAATTAGAAAAAAGCATCCTATGTAGCATATCTGGAGGATAAGAGTTTTCAATTAAAATATTTTTTAACAAATGAAGATCTTCTTGTAGATAGTCTGGATGAGAAAGTTTTAAAACACGTTTCTTTAATCCTGTTATAAGGTTCATTTTCATCTTATTTGGATGATTAGAGTAATAGCTTATAAATCTATTACTACATATGGGTTTTTTAAACCATCTGGTTTTCAACATATTGTCTGTATTTCTTACAATTCTCATGTCAAGGAATGGTAGAGAATTATCTACCTCTTCCTCAACTGTAAATTGTATATGTTGATTATGATTGTTGAAAATGTTGACTGTTTCAAGAATTTTGTGTTTAAGAAGTGCCAAAACTAGATCATCTACATATCTTTTGATAAATGGAATGAAAAAAGTGCAATTATTGATACAATCACTAATAACATCATCCATGGCATGCGCTCTGATAATGTAGCGTTAGTAGTGAATAATAAAAGCGACTTGGAACAAAAACTGGAACAGTGGAGACAAGCCCTTGAGAAAAAAAGTTTAATCTTTATTACAAATTAATTACAAAAACAGAGTATTTTAACTGTTCATTTAAAGGTGGACTAAATTCAAATGAAATGGCGTCTTTAACCCTGCAGCGGTAGCGCCAAGACTCTCCGACCGAAACGTTGTACTAGACAGTATAAAAAGAGTGGGATTTAAACTATCAACTTCGTGCTCTTTACTAATATTTATTATTGCATGGACCGTTGGGCCGAGAACTGTTGCCAGATTTTTATCGTTATTGTTATAGCCTATTTGGGTTCATTAGACTTGGCGCCACTACTTAAGTAACTCAAGTGACTATTATTTTATTTTCGTTTCTTTTAATTTATTTTACAAGTGGTGAATAATTTTGCTGATAATATGTATTTTATTATGTAAACATGCATTATTTTATATTTTGCTTAGTTAAATTTATTATTTTTAGCATAACGAGTTATGAAAAGGAGCGAAGTCATCTACTTCAATTACATGAGAAAGTAGAAAGTGACATAGAACATAATTTTGATGACATTGAATTAGAGGATGAAGTAGATAACATAGAGGAACATCGTTCAGATTCAGATACTAAACAAGAGGGTGGTGGCAATGATTGAGAAGTGAATGTAATAACAGAAAAAGTTTCACGAATTGCCACTTTTCTAGGCAAATATCAAGAAGTCTGGAGCAAATGGTAATAACTCGCCAATTTAATAAAGTTTTTTACTTACCGGGTGTAAAAGCATATGGCAAGAGTGCCAAATCCACAACTGATTGTTGGAGTCTTAGATTTGTTGATTTAGAAACTCAAGACGGAAGAAAACTTTCTGATAATGCGCTAGCTAGTTTATAAGTTTACAAGTTTTGTAAAAAATTGCAATGATACTTACACAATTAACGAGTATGGCACTATAGATAAAAAACTTGAGGCATTTCGGGAAAAATGAGGTTTTAAACATTATATTCCTTCCATACCGATCAAATATGGATTAAAAATCTTAGTCTTAGTTGATGCAAAAACTAGATATACATTAAATCAAGAACCATATATTGGTTTACAACCAGAGGGACCTTTTCATTAAAAAAATGATTTAGTTAGTATTGTTCAGAGATTAATTGGTCCAATATCGGGTACTGTAAGAAATCTTACGTGTGATAATTGGTTTACTAGCTTTAAGCTTATTACAAAACTTCGTAGTGATCACAGTCTGACATATGTGCTACAGTGACAAAAAACAAACGACAATTACCGTTGGAGTTTATAAACATCAATCATCGACCTGTTTATTTAAGTATATTTGGATTCCAAGAAAATACTACAGTAGTATCCTATATACCCAAGAAGGGAAAAAGTGTCATACTGGCCTACAGTATCTACAGTTAAGATCAAATAGATAAATTTACATATTATCAACAGAAGCAAGAGATTATAACGTTTTATAACTCAACTAAAGGTGGGTCGACACCGTTGATGAACTTTGGCCACGTATAATGTAGCTAGAAATATCCGGAGATAACTAATGGTGATTTTTTATTCACTTATAATTGTGGCTGAAATAAACTCCAAAATTATAAATCTGGCCAATAATCAAAATGATAATTTGCTTCGTAGAATATACATAAAACGTTTATCCAAAAAGCTGATCGACCTGCATGTAAAGCGTCGATCCATGGTGGAAAATATCTCTCCAGCTATTCGCAACCAACGCCAAGAAGTGACTAGAACTTCTTGGCGTTCGCAAGTCAACTTTCAAGAGGTAATTCCGAAATTTTAAATATTAAAAAACGATGCAGCTTTTGTGTTAAAGACAGTAAGACTCGTTATTTTTGTCAAATGCGCAAAATATTTATATGTTTAACACATGCCCAGTTTCATTGCCCCGATTGTATATTACACCCACAAAATGTTTAAAAGTGCAACTCATAGGAACAAGTTTGACAAATAAATTTTATATTTTAATGTTTTGTACCCTTAATAAAATAACAGTAAATTTGCATGAACCCTTGCTTTATTTTTCACCGTTTATCAACATTCATCATTTATTAATTACTTTGGTAAGTTATATTATTTATTGGGCCCAAAGTAAAGCTAGATAATACACCAGTATTGTTTTGATTTTCTAATTAATAAATTATTGATTTTTTAGGTCTGTCAGACTTGGTGCCACTAGTGGTGTTCCGTTATGGGGCGCCTCCAGTGAAGGGTTAAATGATGAAATGATTGTGAAAAGTAATTGTTTTAAGTACCTATGACCGGAACTACACAGTAATGGAGAAATATATTGGATTTTATTGATGTTTTAATAATAAAAAGGATTGCGCTTTGTTATTTTTTAATTTCTGTGTTAAGTTTAAAGACTGTCATTTGTCAAGTCACATGTTATTGTATTCCGTTCTTTTTTAAATAGATGTTTTTTGAGCCATCTACAATATAATATATTACTGACCTTAGATGAAGATGCATGCAGTAGAGTTAGGGTTGGATGATAAAGTGGAAGGAAGCGAGTGACGTATTGTGTGACAGAAAATTTTCAATAAAGCAGAAGGGAAAATTCAGTAAAACACTAATAAGACCAGCGACGATATACGATACTGAATCTTGGGTAGCTAAAAAGAAAGAGGAACGGAAATATATGGAGCGAAAATGAGAATTTTTAGACAATTGAGTAACTTGACAAAAATAATACAATTAAGAGTTTGTATATTAGGTTAAGTCTAGGAGTGTCAACAATTGATGTCAAAGTAAGAAGGCCTTAGCTAAGGCGGCTTGGTCATATTCAACGTCGAGAATTTTTTGATCTACGGGTTCCACTGAAAGGATTAGGAGCGCCAAATATGCATACGATAATGAGACCAAAGAAGACCCGGGAAAGAGGTTTAGGCAGTATGTTAAATGTTAAATGTTTACACGTCAAAAATAGAACATAAAAACAAGTAAAAGAAATGGATGCATAAGATTAGCAAAACATCTATACTAAATGCAAGGAAAGCAAAACATTTTAATAAAGAGTTTTATATCATAAAAATGTTTATAGTTACAAAATATAATATCTTACCTAAAAAGATCATTACAAGAAACTATTCTAATATTACCCACCTTTCTTAAAAACCTCGAAATCTTATCTCCGTGTTCCCACGGTGTTACCCAGTTGCCATTTACGTTACAATCAAGAGCCTTTGTTGTACCATTGTAATTTAGTCCTCTTCTTACATTGTTTCTAAACAGATCTGGCTTTTTCCGTAAAACTTTGTTAAAAGCTTCAACCAATACAAAAACGGCATCGTACATTAAAGCAGCTTGGGCAGATATACTGTCTTTACCAGCACCCGGAGATTGAACCGAATCCAGTCGTTTCCATCCTAAAAATATATTTGCGTAAATACTATTATCTCTGCCTTTTAAAATAATTTATATAACAATTTCATGGATTATTACGACATTCGAGGTGACATTGTACCCTTTTTAAAAGTCTATCAATTTAAATAATTTTAATTTTAGATAAAAAAAAAATTTAAAAAAAAAAAAATGATTTTGTGAAACGTAAATCAGGCAGCAGGTAGAGACTCTTTTCCGTTCCTGGTAGAAGATAGATCTACTTCAGGGATGCGACCCTACCCACGTCAGCCATAATTATCTCCAAATCTCGTGGTACCTGGGAGAAATTATGTCCTAAACCCATTCTCCCACCTAATTACCAAAGTTTCCATTCCCATATCCCACCCTGTCAGACAGCAGCATCAGTACCAAGATAAAACGTAAGAGAAATGATCCTGGATCGGTATATTATTGGATACTAGAGCTGTTAAATTAACTGAACGATTACCGGTATAAGCAATGTTCCACCTGTTGGTTAACAGCTACAGGTGGAAGAACCGACACATGATAGAGTACTTCTGGTGCATTACCCTGGAGCATAGAAATTAATTCCGGAGGCGGAAGAACTAAATTAGTCAACGGCATTGAGATGTGGAAAGCCAGGGGATGACTACTACATTAAAGATTCGTAAGGATATCCTTCAAAAATTCAACATGCCCTTGTGTCAGTTGGAAACGAAACCCTCAAACCACTTGGAGAAAAAACAAAACCTTGGATGACAGTAGAAATTTTTGAATTTATGGAAGAACGAAGAAATCATAAAGCATTAAATCTGAATAAATACAAAGAAATTCAGAAAAACATCAGAAAGAAAATTCGAGAGGAAAAACAGAGGTGGCTCTCTGACAGATGCAAGGAAATAGAAAATCTGGATAAAAAGTATGATAGCTTTAATTTACATAAAAAAAATCAAAGAAATAACAGGTTCTAGAAAACGTACAAATGTACGTACTTTATCAAAATGATAAAGGGTACTAATTACATTTAACAACTATTTAATGATGAAAGAGAAGAACTGTCATTAGAAATTACCGAGGATACCGGACCACCAATATTAAGAGAACAAGTCATCTATACCATCAAAAACACCAAAAGATGGTAAAGCTACTAGACCAGATGATGTGCCCATCGAATTATTAAAACTCATCGATGAAGATGTTATTGATGTAACGGTTGAACTCTTTACTTTAATAAGTATATCAGACTGCCACAATCCCCAGACAACGGCTGCAATCGACCTTTGTAGCAATTCCCAAAAATCCAAGTAAAACAGCTTGCTCAGATCACAAAACACAAGCTTTAATGAGTCACACACTTAAATTATTTTTGAAAATAATTCACAGCAGAATTGTTAAAACTCTTGAATATGAAATTAGTGACACACAATTTGGCTTTAGAAAATTATGGTATGAGTACAAGAGATGCTTTGTTCGGCTTGAATGTGCTGGCTCAGAGATTCATGGACATGAATCAGGACATGTACTTGTGTTTTGCAGACTTTGAAAAGGCATTTGATAAGGTTCAACATAAAAAGATTGTAGATATATTAAAAAGCAAAAATATTGACAGTCGTGATATGAAAATTATATCTAATTTATATTGGAATCAAACTGCTAAGGTAAGAGTTGACAGCCAGTACACCGAAAATATCAAAATACAGAGAGGAGTCCGTCAGGGTTGCGTGCTGTCCCCACTACTTTTCAATGTCTACAGTGAAGAGGTATTTCAAGAAGCGCTCTCAGACTCAATAGAAGGTATATCTATCAATGGAGAAGTTTTGAGTGACATACGTTTTTCAGACGATACAGTAATAATGATGGATAACAACAATAAATTACAGAACGTAATGCAACGCCTTAATAAGCGCTGGCATGAGTACGCACTGAAGATGAATTTAAAGAAAACTAAATGCATGATCATGACTAAATCTTCACATACAAATATCCAATTGACTATTGTAGAAAAAATGCAATTGAGAGTGTTAATAACTATAAATACTTAGAAACATGTATAACATCAAATGTAGACCAGACCAAAGAAATTAAGACACGTATTGAAATAGCACGTACATCATTCATTAAACTTAAAAAGTTTCTTTGTTGTCGGTATATAAGGTTAGAACCATGACTGAGAATGCTTCGATGTTACGTGTTCTCTACTCTTTTTTATGGGTTGGAAGCGTGGACGCTAAAACAAGTCCACCTGAATAAGTTGGCTGCCTTTGAATTTTGGTGTTACAGAAGAATTCTACGAAAATCATAGATTTAAAAAATGTCAAACGTGGAAGTAACTAGGATAGGAAATGAGGCGGAAAGAATATTAACTATTAAAAGACGAAAACTTGAGTACTTAGGACATGTGACGAGAGGGCAAAAATACGCATTATTACAACTTATTATGCAGGGTAATATCCGAGGAAAGCGAAATGTGGGAAGACGAAGATATCCTGGCTTAAGAACTTAAGGGAATGGTTTGAATGCAGTAGTGCAGAATTTTTTAGAGCGGCAGTCAACCACTCCATGATGATTTCGCATAGCCATGATTATTTCCAACCTTCGATAGAAGATGGAACTTAAAGAAGAAGAAAACGTAAATATTAAAAAAATATTCCACTATCGACAGGTTCTAACCCATTTGAGGAGGGCCCAATTGAATTTAAGTCGATCTTGCAGCCACCGCAGGTTGACGTAAGACGGTTTATAATAACTTATTTATATCTGATATCTTACATCCTTTAGCACCAAAAAATTTTTATGTGTCTTGGCCTCTTATGATCACTTGTATAGCCATTCTATTAGTTCATTCTATTCTATTAGTACTATTCACTAACTCAGGTGTGTCGTATTATGAGCCTGTGATTTTGATTTTATTCTTTTGTTTTCATTTGTGGTAAAGTAGTTCGCCAACTTGGTGATTAAAGTATATTTATAGCGCAACGCTTGTCCGATATTTCTTAATGCTTAATTTAATTATTATTTAACATTAGTTACCATTTTTCTCACGTATAATGGTAATAAAGTACTAGAATTTGAGTTTTGTTGTGTGGCTAAAACTTGATAAGATAAATTTATTTTTTGTACTATTTGCTTGTTGCTGAAGATGGTCTTGATAAAATATATTGATGTTAATAGGTCTTTACACATTATAATCCTTTGTTGTACCAGTACAGTTTTTTACTGCTACAAAAATTCCACATAATACACTGGTATATGCGCTGCTGATAGAAGGTAAAATGCATCTTACTATTACTGCCTATAAAGTGCTGACTGAACATAACTAACCCGTTTTCTTTAAATCAGTTGAAATTGTAAAACCAAAAGATACCATAATGCAATACAAGAAATGGCACACATGAAATTAAATATTCTGGGAATAAGCGAAATGCGTTGACCAGATTCAGGAACCGTAAATTTAGGGGAACACCGCGTTTGCTATTTTGGAATAGATAACAGACAACAACATAAGTTAAGTGTCGGCATTATACTAACAAAAAAAGTGGCAAAATTTGTTGACATTCATCCCAATCTCAGCAAGAGTGATGCTTATACAACTAAAAGCAAGACCAATCAACATTAATATAATTTAAGTGTATGTACGTACAACAAAAGAAACAAAACAAGAAATAAAAGTACTATGCCATAGCAATAATCAAGTCGTGAAAAGTTTAAAAAAGCAAGACCCAACAATGGGTGACTTCAATGCCAAAGTTGGGGCCAGCAAATCATCACCTGCAGTTAGGTCATTTTACACCTGGCTTAAACTATACTCAAGAAAATTTTACACCTGGAAATCTCCACAGCATTCTATGGGAGAGGATTGTGAGAAATCAGATTAATTACATGCTAGTAAATAAGTGGTATAGGAACAGCTGTACATCCGTCAAAACATACCCGGGGTAGACATAAGTTCTGATCATGTACCAGTTGTAGGCAATTTCAAAGTTAGAATGAAGACAGTTACAAGTAAGTCGATGAAGTAGTATGATGTAAGAAAACTAAAAGATTCCAATGTTCGACTGAAGGAGAGTGAAAACCTTAATACAAAGGAGGTAAAATGCAGAAATGCAGGAATTATAGAGGACTATTATACAAGAAATAGTAAGAGAAATAAAAGAACAACACCCCAAGAAAGATACAGAAAGGGAGTTCGTGGATGACCGATAAAATACTTAAACTTATGGATTAGAAAAGAAATACAAAGAAAATCTTTAAGAATATAAGAGAATACATACAATAGTCAAAAGAAAAATAAGACTATCCAATGAGAAACAAAAAACAGAACAATGCCAAGAAACAGAGAAGTGTCAGAGTATATATATATATATATATATATATATATATATATATATATATACGTATATATATATATATATATATATATATATATATATATATATATATATACGTATATATATATACATATATATATATATATATATATATATATATATATACATATATATATATATATACATATATATATATATATATATATATATATATATATATATAATATATATATATATATATATATATCAGAAGTATTATCGATATGATAACTTTAATGTTCATCGAAAGGTGAAGGAAATAGCTCAAAAGTTCCAAAAATGCAACAACGGAAAAATTAATAAATAATATAATACTTTTGCTAAGCTTAACACATTCAATTTTTATTTGTGGACAAAAAAGGTATACAAAATATCATTGGTTGCTCTATATATCTTATAAGAAAAAGTAGTAAATCCTTTGGAGAAAGAGAAAAAGAGTAAATCAGTTGTCGGATTTGTTAATCGAGCGAGCTATTTCGCGCGCGGTAAACAGCAGTATCTCCACAAAAGTGTTAGTTATTTTAATTGACAGAAAGTTTTTATTACTATATGGTTGAGAGTAACAAAATGTAAAAGCAAAAATAAATTCCAATAACTGTAAAACTTTAACAAATTTAAAAAACATGGTTGGATCGAGAATATGTGTAATAGTGCAAAAAGCAAAAATTAAAAATTTTCAATGTACCCGGTACTGAAACTGCTTTTTTTCTTAAAAATTTCACAAAATTGTCTCTATTCCATTTTTTTGCTTTATTCTATGTACTCTTAACAGTTCAAAAGACAGAAAAAATTCAATAAAAATAAATTTATTTTTATTTCAAGACTGAAGGAATGTCTCTGATATTGCTCAATCTTCAACTAGCCTTGCTCAAAATTTCGATTTTATCTACCGTTTTACTGAAGAAGGTATTACCCATGATAATAGTATAAAAAATCCAGATTACATAAAAAATGATGGAGATAATAGTGACACCAGTAATCATAGTTTCAATAGCCATAATAGCAACTATTTAAGAGACAATAATAGTGAATTAGAAGTAGATCATTAATTACCACATGTCCAACTTGACGAAAACTTCAATAAAAAACGAAAAGGCAACTAATTACTAAATTAAAAAGAAAAGACGTTATAAGAAACCAGAAACTTAGCAGAAAGAAAGAAAGATTAGCAGGAAAGAAACACATTAATAAATCGGGTAAACTAATAAAAGCTAAAACAATTAAATCTGCTTGCCTTACTTGCCGACTAAAATATTCAGAAATAATAGCAGAAGCTTTAAGAAAGCAAATTTTTGAGAACTACTTATAACATAAAAAATTGGGATTTAAAGCGTCTATTTGTGCGCTCGCATATAACCCGTAAAAGTGTAATACGTCGTAGACCTAAAAACCATTCTAAACGCCTAGAGAAGTCAGCATTTCTTATAATTTAAACATGAAGTTAGATGAATGTGTAAAAAATTGGCAAATGTAATTTTTTTTTAAATACTTCACAAATTGTGTGTGTGGAAGGCATAAACCATTTGATAAAACACCTGAAGCAGTTTTGAATCGAGTATATTAAGTCGTTTCCATGCTACGTCTGTCATTATTCTAGATCAAAAACTGCAAAAAAAATATCTCATATACATAAAAGTGTGAGGAAGAAAATATTCCAAAGAATAAAACTTTTTAATTATGGCTGAATACAAAAATTTTTAATACCGATTTTAATTTAGCATTTAAGTCGCTTTCTGTGGAACGTGTGATACTTGCGATCGTTTTATGCTACAAATAAAAAACTGTTTCGGACAAGACACAATACCAATACGGCAAAATTATGACCACCATCTTCAAGATGCGGAAAATTATTACAAAATAAATAATGCAAACGATAAAAAGGAAAGTTAGAATGTGTGATTCACAGAAATGCTTTCCTACGCCTTTTTAAAAAATAATTAAAGTTTTTACAAGCTTAAATTATGGACTGTAAATTTCCCTATATATAACGCCACAGAAAATAAATCTTATTGCCTTATCTGGAATAAATCCGAAGCTGGAAGTGGTGGCACGAAATTGCATTAGCCTTGACTAAATAATTGCCCCAGTCAATGGTTTAATTGCCCCCAGGCAATGTTGTAGTTTTGGTTTTTGAACATCTGCCCTAATTTAAAAGTCGATGACCATAAATATTTACTTAGACGATAGACTCATTTAGAAGCTGACTAACTCTTCTATTTCTTCTTCTTCTTCTTCTTCTTCTTTTCATATAGACATGACTGTGTCTGATTTTTTATTTGTTGTCATTCGGCTTATATGATCGTTCCATTCTACTCTTCTATTTCTTACCCAGTTTTTGATGTCTTACCATCAATTTTTTTTTAAAGTGTTGTTATCTCTGCTGTTTCTAACATGATTCTTGTTCTCTCTGTGTCAGGTCTTGTTTCTGCCGCATATGTCATTATTGGTCTGATGACTGTTTTGTAAATTCTGCCTTTGGTTTCTTTCCTAATATTTTTATTTCTCCATATTGTTACATTTAGGCAGCCTGCGGATCTGTTTGCTCTATTCACTTGATCTTTCATTTGGGTTTTGAGCTTTTGCCGTAGCTAGATAATATGATGCCTAGATATTTAAACTCTATCACTTTTCTATTGTCTGACCTTCCAGCTCTAATTTACATCTGAGTAAATTTGCTGTTGTAACAATGCATTTTGTCTTTTTTGGGGAAATTTAGATGTTAAATTTTCTGGCGGTTATATTAAATTGGTGCAGCATACGTTGTAAATCTTTTTCTCTTTAAGAGAGTAGTATTGCGTCGTCTGCATAGCAGATTATTGTAAGTTATCTTTCTCTGTAGTTTGAACAAACATAACTACAAAAATTTTGAAATACTTTACGCTCAGTCTTAATCCCCATTTATCAGTAAAAATAAAAATATTGACAATGATAATTTTTGATTCCAAACGTAGTCCAATTCTATGTAAAAAAGAGACACCGACTATAATTTTCTATAAAAACACTTTTAACGAAAATTGACTCAAAGGATTGTAGGTGGCTTGAAGAAGAGCAAATGTCACCAATATTTTAAAAAGGCTCTTAGTGATATACATAAACTGACGCTTTTCTGTATGGTCAGCATTTTAAACAGCTATAAATACAAAAGTATGACTGTGAAAACAAGAGCAGTGTAGAGAACAAAAATGAAGTACCTACTGTTTAATCGTGCACCTAAAATATCTAGGAAAAATATTGTGTTATAAAAATTACTTACCTTCTAAAAATTCTTTTACATAAGGTTTAAAACTATCCACTATCCTAAAACCCGTAATATTGATGGCTCCGTATTCCACTACTTCACTTTCCCATCTCTCGTCCATAACCTAGAAGGGTAATTTTTGATTAGCATCTAGGAAAGTTTCTAAATAGCGTAGCCAAATTTTATCTAGTTTATCTCTTTTATATATTAAGCAATATCAATACTACGGATTACACAATAAATCATAAACTTTGAAAAATCGAGAGAAACACATAACGTCGAAGACCACTGGAATCATGTCAAAAGCATTATGCAAGAAACAACTAAAAAGTATAAAACTATTAACAATCGCAAACAACAATGGATTACTGATGAAATATTGGAACTAATGGAAAGCAAACGAAGACAGAAAAATAAAAACACTGAAGAACACAATAAAATTCATAAGGAAATCAGAAGGAAAATTCGGGATGCAAAGAAAAAATGGTACAGCAACAAATGTCTTGAAATAGAAGAATTGCAGAAAAAGAATGACACGTTTAATATGTACAAAAAGGTAAAAGAAATTACTGGAATATATAGAACAACTGCAAGTAGTTTACTTGATAAACAAGGAAATATTATAGTCAATAAACAAGACAGATTAGAGAGGTGGAAAGAATATATTAAGGAGCTGTTTGATGACGATAGAACAGAAATTCAAATCAAAAATATATCGACTGGTCCAAACATAACACTCGATGAACTGGAAAGAGCTATAAAGCTATCAAAGAATAGGAAATCAACCGGTCTAGATGAAATTCCAAGCGAAATAATCAAACTGCTCGACGATAAGGGCAGGGCAGCTTTAATAAAATATTCGAAACAGGACATATACCAACAGACTGGCTACTATCAACATTTGTAATGATACCGAAAAAAATTAATGCCAAACAGTGTAGCGATCATCGCACTATCAGACTGATGTACTAAAAATTTTCTTAAGAATACTGCACTCGAGAATTTACAACAAAATAGAAGTACAACTAAGTGAAACACAATTTGGTTTCAGAAACAACCTTGGAACCAGAGAAGCACTCTTCATGTTGCAGGTCATGGTTCAAAGATGCAGGGATATAGAACAAACAGTATATATGTGTTTTATTGACTTCGAAAAGGCCTTTGACCGAGTAAACCATGACAAACTTATAGGTGTCTTGCAACAGGTGGGTATTGATGACTGAGACCTCCGTATTATCACAAATTTGTATTGGCATCAATGTGCAAACATACGAGCTGGACACAACACGACGAAAGCAGTGAAAATACGACGTGGAGTGAGGCAAGGATGTATTCTATCGCCACTACTTTTTAATATATACTCCGAATTTATTTTTAAAGAAGCCTTAGTTGAAGATACAGGCATTAAAATCAACGGAATTAATGTCAACAATCGCAGATATGCAGACGACACGGTACTTATTGCCTCCGATGAAGAAGACCTGCAACGACTTATAAATAGGGTAACCGAAGCATGTGATGAATATGGGCTAAAACTTAATACTTCTAAGACAAAATTTATGATTGTCATCAAAACGGAGTTACAACCAACGAACATCAGAGCGTATGAAATAGAGTTAGAAAGAGTCCACAATATTACCTACTTGGGTGCAAACGTTAACGATAACTGAGACATATATATAAAGAAATAAGAATACGCATTGAAAAGGCCAGAGCCGCCTTCTATAAATTAAAGAATACGCTGCTACATATTCTCCACATTGCTGTATGGTATGGAGAGCTGGATCCTTACAGAGACATTAATGAAACAATTAGAGGCCTTTGAAATGTGGATTTATCGACGAGTATTGCGGATAAGTTGGGTTAATCGAATAATAAATAAAATAGTTTTATATCTAATGAAAAAGACCCCAGAAATAACAAAAACGATAAAAATTTGGAAGTTACAATATTTCGGTCATGTAATGAGACATCCAGAGAGGTATAACCTTCTACACCTCATAATACAGGGTAAAATCGACGAAAGGAGAGGCCCAGGTCGACGAAGAACATCCTGGCTACGAAATCTCCGAGAATGGTATCAAGAAACCACCTTTAATTTATTTAGAGCCGCCGTGAATAAAGTTATTATTGCCAATATGATCGCCAACGTTCGAAAATCGGACAGGATAACGGATAAACTGAAGATGTCTATTTAATTCAAATAAATTATGTTTTATTATTAATTCGGATTTTTTCTCAATATTAAATTATCAGATAATATATCAGTATTATAATAAATATACCTTAGGATTTATACTAGATATATATAAAAGATATACAAACGAAAAGAAAAACGCCAAAACACAACTTCATAGTAAAAATGTAATGAAATTGAACAATATGAAAAGAAACACGATACATTTCATCTGCACAAGAAATTAAAAGAGGTCGCTGGAAACAAACGGAAACAAGTATCCCAAAATTTAGAAGACAGAAACGGACACAGAATATTAGACATCAATGAAAAGGTAAAAGAATGGGAAAACTACATTTCTGAATTATTTGAAGATGAGAGAGTAGAACACTATACACCGATTGCTATATCAGGTCCATCGATAACAGAAAGTGAGGTAAGAAGTTCAATACAAACGGCAAAAAATGAAAAAGCACTTGGCCCCGATGAAGTAAGTGCTGAAATACTAAAGTTTTTGAGAGAAAATGGAATTAAAGCTCTGTGTAATCTCTTTAACAGAATTTATAACACTGGAATATTACCAACTGATTGATTAAAGTCGACATTTGTCACAATACCTAAGAAACATTGTCTAAAGACATGCGGTGATTATCGGACAATAAGTCTGATGAGTCACGTTTTGAAGATCTTCCTGCGAGTAATACACAGCAGAATCTACACGCTGTTAGAGGACAGAATTAGCAATACTCAATTTGGGTTTAGGAGTGGCTTGGGTACAAGAGAAGCCTTGTTTAGTATACAGGTGCTAGTACAGAGATGCAGAGGTATAAATCAAAATGTGTACATTTGTGCAATCGATTTTGAAAAAGCTTTTGACAAAGTCCGACATAACAAAATGCTAGAAATATTCGAAACAGCTGAATTGGACGATAAAGATCTACAAATAATAACAAATCTATACTGGCATCAAGTGGAAAGAATAAAGGTTGAACAAGAACTGTTGGATGAAATAAATATAAAAAGAGGAGTGAGACAAGGCTGTATATTGTCGCCTTTACTTTTTAACTTATATTCGGAGGAAATATTTAAGGAAGCCTTAATGGAGACAACCGAAGGTATTATTGTGAATGGAGTAACCGTCAACAATATTAGATATGCCGACGATACCTTAGTCCTTGCCAATTGCGGAGAAGACCTTCAAAATCTAATGAATTAAATAAAATAGACTTGTGATTAGTATGGATTAAAACTCAACGTTAAGAAAACTAAATATATGATAGTTAGCAAACAAAATTATATACATGATGACGGTATAAAAGTCGGAGATGCCACACTGGACAGTAATATCAATGAGAGCTGGGATCCAACCGCAGAAATTAAAAGCCGAATAAAACAAGCCCGAACTGCCTTTGTAAAAATGAGAAACATATTTTGCAGTCATGATCTTAGCATTGACCTTAGAGTTCGTATGACATCTTGCTACACCTTTTCTGTCCTACTGTATGGAGTGAAAGCGTGGACTCTAACTGAGGCTATGCTTAAACGCTTGACAGCCTTTGAGATGTGGGTATACAGACTACTACTGAAAATAAGCTGGGTTGACAGAGTTAGAAATGAGGAGGTCCTTAGACGGCTGAGCCAAACAACAGAACTGGTCAATATAATAAAGAAACGCCAGATGAAATACTTTGGCCACATTATAAGACACCCTGAAAAATATTATCTTTTACATCTGATCATTCAGGGAAAGATCAAAGGTAATCGTAGTCCTGCTAGACGAAGAACATCATGGCTGAAAAATCTAAGGCAATGGTATAGAAAATCAACTACATCGTTAATTAGAGCTGCTGTCAATAAAGTCACGATAGCGTATATGGTAGCCAACATGATATCCAATGATCGATAAAGGTCATGGAACTAGAAGAAGATATAAAAAATATTTTACTCCGTTTATACAGAAATATGAATTCTTCCTTCGTTATACATACCAAATTTATTACTATTGACAACAAAAAACCTGCAAATCTATCAATTACATGGGTCGTTCTTATTTTTTTTTTAATTTAGATTTAGGTAAATAAGTTAAATTATTTTTTTACTTTAATCGAAAAAATTTATAATATTACCTAACTCTAGTGTTTATTTCAATTAGTATTAAATTTTTCGTCCTAATGTTGTTAACTGTATACTAAGTCTTTGATATCACTACAATACATTATCATCTATTCTCCTATTTAACTCACATTACTGATTTTCGCTAACTTTACTAAGAAGGTCTAATAGTTTTTCTGCCTAAGTTACTATGATAATAAATCAACAGAGTCGGATGTAAAGGAGAAATAAACGTAAAGAATTTCCATTTGCCATTTACGCTAAAAGCAATTTTAGTCAAAATGACCTGTATTTGTTTTATAGAACGGTTAGATTAAAAAGTTTTCTTACTTTGCACAACTGCCATTAAAAGAACCGGCATCGTATTCAGCGGCAATAAAGAGTGAGATTTGTTATTTTCAAGGAACACGCAATACTCAAATATAATCAGAAACCATTACCATTATAAAAATTATATTTATATTTTAAGCTTAACAATGTCCGGAATAGGTCAAAAATCAACGGGGTTTTTTTGATTCAACCTTGATATAGAATATTTAACATAGAAAAAGTATTTTATACATATATTTAAAAACGTAATTATTTGTAAGTCTATAATGAACGGAAAAAGAAGAGACTATAATGAAAAAGCAGTGTTTTTTACTTCTGCATAAGAGAAAAAAAAATAAAATATACTATGTCGTGTATGAAATAATTCAAATTTTATGTTTAAATTAAATTAAGATAATATAATATAACATGCTTAATTATAAATATAGGTTTACTAGTTATTTATTGTACAAGACGATAAAATTGTACTTTATCTTCGAGAGCGTTTTTTTAGCGTCGAGATGTCA